CTGTTATGCATTTATGCCTGATTCCTGCAAACTTTGGCAAGTTGGTATTTTATTTAATTCAATTTTTAAATTATTATAATTTGGAATAAAATTCCCATTAAAATTCGTACTTATTCCTTGTGTACAATAAAATTATGTTTATGTATATGTATTGCCCCATAATCAGCAGTTTGTTTGACGGATCTGTAAATGATTTATTGTTTGTTATTACGAAATAATATTTATTTTAATTTTGCCCACTTGTCGTTGTATGCATAATGACAAATGATACACACGTATTGTGCTTTTTGTTGTTGTTTAATTCTGCTCTTGCTCTTTGGAATGAAATGTCTTTATTTCGAGCGCCGGCTTATCAGTTTTATTTTTCTCGGCTCTGCTTTTGGGCAGTGTAAATACGCAGCAAATTAATAAATTAAGATGGGCGCCGCGTGTATAATTAATTTTTCAATTATGAGGCCTTAACTTGTGTTTGTTTTGGCCGCCTAGAGGTAACGCGGCAGTTGTTGCCCCTTTTTTCATTCAAGATATTTTAATGCGACTTTTTTCGGTGTTTTATCAAAAGCCATCGCAGAACTGTTAACAGACAGCACCAACGTGGACGCGGGTGGAGAGGGCGGTAGGGCGCGAGAGAAGAAGAACCAAATAAACAAACAGCAAACGAACAAGCAAACAATTCTTCCAGAGGCAGGTGGGGGGGGCATGGCACAGAGGCATACATAACAACAACAACAGACAACTATAACTACTTGGTACTTGTACTTGGGATAGTTGACAGTTGACTTCTGCCCATGTTTGCACATGCACTTTGCGTGTGCTTCGCTCTGTGGGTGTGCGTGTGTGTGTGTGTGTGTGTGCGCACGTGCGTTTACAACTGTTACAAGAGTCGAACAAACAAATGCGGCAAACAAACTTACAAAGTGAGCAACGCCAAAGGATTTGCGCTTTTGGCTTTTATAAAGTTAGGGAAGCGTGCAGCTTTCCAAAAGAGAATGCTCACAGACTGAGAAAATCACGAGATAAAGATACTTACATTAGTTGTATGGGCGAGGAGTGTGTAACAGAGAGATCTGGTGTATATATATTCCTGATCAGTGTCAACAGCTACTTTGTTATAGCCAAGCCTATCTCTATAAATAGGTTCCCCTTTTAATTGCAGGTAGCAACTATGTCTGAGTCGTTCGGATTGAATGTATCTATATCTATCGTAGCAAAGATCAGTCAAAAATAAGTTAGTTCTCTTTCTGTACCACACATCTAAGCCAAATGTTATGTCATATTTATATGTATGCCATATATTTCATATCATTTATGTTTGTCATATATTTTACATAATACATGAAGGTTCGGTTAAAAATAATTTGTTGTATGGAAAGCTTTTCTGTTATTCAAGATATAGATACACCAGAATAGTTTATTCTTGCAACATATTTTCAAACATGAACAATTGCTTGAAATTCAAGTGTTTATATTAAAGCACTTCTTGGCCTTATGTCGCGAGGTTATTTGATTCTGCCGTATCGAATTAGCTGTTCTTTCTTGTTTATGTAATTACATATAAACATAACATAATTGTCAATCAATCAGAACACGCAATGTCCCCTCAAAGCATCTCCGTTCCATATATCAATTTCACCAGTTACTTAACTAGACATTCCCCACACATTTGGTATTGCATTGACAATTGCATATTTCTTGGATAGTTTTATAGGACGCCATTGTCTGGGGCTCTGGCGACTTCAGCTCCAGCAGCTCCTCCCTTGGGCACCTTGCATAAAATGCTTTACGCTGCGGCAAATAAACAGACAAAGTGTATGAAGTGAATTTTTATCAGCTAGCAAATAGACAACATTGACTATGCCCTCCATTCCCCTGCCCTACCCAACACACGCCCTCCCTTTGGCTGGCTTAGAAACGTTAACCACTTTTCGGACAGCATTTTCTTGTTGCTTTTGTTTTGGTTGGGGGCATTTTTCTTTTATACATTTTGAAAATTGAAATTTTAATGCCGCGCATATGAATGAAATTGTTGTTGTTGTTGCTGTCGCTTGGCTATTAAAACAGTTGCCCGAGATAAACAAAATACAATAAAGCAAAAGCAATGTAAATATGTATATTGCTAACGATAATATAAGGTATCTAATGTTTAAATAGTCGCAAAATTCTTATATCACTAAAAGTTTATGCGTATATATACGTGTAGTTCTTACAGCTCGTGCCACACATACCTGAGCCATTCGCTGATTTTTATTACCCAACAAATTGGTAGTTTGTTGCCTTAACATGGACAGCCATAAGCAATAATAAACACTGCATTCGGGTAATCTAAGCGTTTAATCAGCCATGTCCAGGTATCTATATATACATTTTTGCATGTAGCTATTAGTAAAGCTCAATTTGGCACATATTCTGGGCCATAATAGGTATATTTAATATTTTGTGCATTTCTTACCAAATATGTGGGCCGGCTTAAGTGATTTGGGAATTTTCGCTAAAGCCAACTAATTTATTTAGTCGGCTGACTGCATTTGATGAGCCACATGGATGTGGCCCAAACAGCACAAAGGCAACAAATTTTTGATTGCCAAAAACCTCGCAAAGCCCACGAAAGTTCAGGCCACAATAGTTTTTAGTGCGGATTCTCTCCGGTTTGTTTTGTTTTGTTTTGTTTTGTTTCACTTTTGGCTGGTTCGACTGCAGCGGCGCAGCCTTGACAGCAATTTGACAGACATAAATAAACAACAACCAAAATGGGCGAATAATTTAGTACCCTGTACGTGCCGGAAAAATGTGTACACCTTGGTACTAAAAGAAAATTGCAAGCTTCACTTTGTTTTTGCTTAAAACTTCAAGATTGTCGCTGAAAATTGATGTGGGGCTTTACTTGGAAAGAGATTAGCTCTATCATTATACTACTCATAAGACTGCAGAATCTTGGTTTTCCATTTAATTAGTTTCTTTGGGTTCTGGATTAATTTTCTAGATTGTTTTCAATTGCATTCATTTAAGTGAACTCTTTTGATTTGAATCTTCTCCACTTGCGTTGCCTTAGGCAAATGTATTTTACTTTATTTAAATTCAGTTAAATCAGTTTTCCATTTCGTATACTAAATTGGATATGCCTGCAGAGGTATTCAGTTTCATGTATGTCGAAAATTAAAACGTTGGCTTGTTAAATTGTGAGCCGTATAAGAAAGAGATGACATCTTGTTCTAAAGATTTATAAATGCAAAAGATTTGTTTTCACAGGATATTTTCTTATTAAATGTCTTAAGGCCTATTCATAAAATTAACAATGAAATTTGAAGAGTTTTGATATCATATGTCTTAAAGCAGTTAATTAAATATACAATCAAATGCAACGAGTTTTGATATAAAATTGTGATTCTTTTCATATTAAACCGAAGGAGTTTAGTTGTTGTAGAAAGGGTATTAAAGCGACGCCAACAAGCACAGAGGAAATTGCCGCAACTAGAGCTACAAGTTTTGTGTGCCTAAAACTAGGCTATCAAGCCAAAAAGAATAAATAACAAAGGCAACAGCAGCAGCAACAACAATTGGCACACAAACTACTGAGCCAGAAGCATTTACTGGCAAAAAAGAAATGAAGACTGGCTGAGAGAATGTCGCGTTTATTAATGCCAGGGGAGCGCACTTGACTTTGGCCATAATTGTAGTTAGTCGGCCAACTGGCTGTTGGCCAGCTACGCCTCTTGCTTGTTCCATTCGCAATGTAATTTACAACGGCAGAGAGCTAAATGTGATCTCCCAACATGACAGTAAATTAATAAACATGGCAAACTCACAGCTAACAACATTGTTTATAATCGTATCACTTGCAGGGCATCATCGTTTGAGTTTCTGTTCCTGTTGCTGCTCTGCCTAGGCCGAGCTGCTTAGCGACACGTGGCCTATAAGTAGACGCCACATGATACACGACAGGCAACACCCTGCGATGTCTGCCCCGTCTGTCAGTGCCTACTGTCAGCACATTGTGTGTATGGAGTCGTATGTCTTTGTGCTTTGTGCTTCAATTGAGAAATGTTTAATGTTCGAATTGCTCTTGAATTGAATTAAATTGCGTGTGATTGGTGCGTAAATAATTCCATTAATTTATGCGGCATGTTGAAATACTTATGCACTGCTGCCCGGTAGCTATTAAAATTGTCAACGTATTTGTCTTTCAGCATTTCGACGATGCAGTTTGATTTGTGGTTTTCACATTCAGGCATTTAATCAACAGGTTTTTTGTGTGCTCTGCTGGTTGCCGTTGCCAGAGTAACCTTCGCATTGGCCTGCAGCCAAGCCCATTTCAGTCCATTTCCCTGGCCTTCGGTGTGCGTCTTATTGATTCAGTCATGGGAACAACAGCAGCCTGCTCTATACCTCGGTATTTATGTATTTATGCCCTCGGACACGAACTTATATAGTTGCTGAATATGGTTACCCTCAGTCATTTAGCAAGACAGGTTTCTCAATGCCATGGCTGCTGGAAAATGTGATTGTGACCCTGTCATGAGTTATGGATAATTTGCCTATGGTCGTTGACTAGTGTCAGACAGTTTTGTCGTGTGCCTGTCATCTGCCAGATAAATACTTGTATTTCTTATACACTGATGTACAGCACATTTTTACGGAATACAGTGCCTCGAACTGCTTGTTAAAAGATTTTTTTCTGATTCTCATTTCACTTGGGCTGCACTTACTTATTTTGTCAATCTTTTGAAATTGGAAGGCATAGTTAGTGGTATTTAATTAATGCAACTGCCAATTAGAAGGCATCAAAAGAGAAATGATAATCTTTAATGCTTATTGATTTCTTTTAAGATCTCGATATGTAGCATATTCTTAATAAATTTGATGACCTGGCTTTTCCACAAACCCGTAAATGTTTCGAACCTCATCTGTTGAAAATTGACTTAAAACAGTTTTACTTTTTTTTTTTTAATTATTTCATAAACCAGCTGTCAATAAGCAGCAATCAACAATATGACGCCCAAAACAACTTTCCAGCCAGCCGGGTTTAAGTGAGACTTTTTATACTCTGTGCACATAAGAAATGCTTAGCACAGAGGGCATATTGGTTTTATGCAAATGTATGTAAAAGGCAGAAAGTAGTATTTACGAAACCGTAAAGTATAAATGTATATTCCTTACCAGTTGTAAATTATTTGATTTGTACGCAGAATGACTTTCCATTTTTACTCTACCCCACATCCTTTAGATAAGAAAAGGTGACAGTCAATTTGATAAGCATTGTCCTTTTTGGACATCTCCACTCACCTGCTCCACACACAAACTGACGACTTGCTTTCTCAGTTATAAACACATTTGGATGCCACGCATAAGCTCAGAGAATCTCGAACACTCGCAATAAGAACTAAACACTGGATATCTGCTCGTCGGGCACTCTCCAGTACGGGACTCATACTTGCTTCCTGTCGCATTAGTTAGTTTCTTGCTTCAGACCGAAATACGTTTTAATTATGAATGAATCATGAATCTACCATTTAATCATGTCTGACTCATTATGGACCCCTCTCTCCCTATTTCGTATACTTTTGCCACTAGCTTCTTTTGGCGACCGCGTTCAAGGGCTCGCTAATCTTGAAGGTGTCCCAGTTTATGGAGCAACATGCCTGTGGCCCCACATAATGCGCCTAGCGGGTAATTAACAACTGCAGTAGTCGCAGTTTTTTCTCTCTTTAAGGTCCGATTACTAGTCATAGCCATTAGTCGCAACAGGACTTGCGTGTTAAATTATTGCTGGGCATTCATTTGATTATGACATACAGCCAAACACACACACACACACACAAACAAGTACACAAGCACATGTACATGCACACATTCTCTGACATACATGCACGTACACAATTAGCCAAAGGCGTGTCCTGACTGCCGCTGAAAGGCAGACTTGGCTTTTGTTTTTTTTTTTTGTGTTTAGTTTTTTTGTTGATTCTTTCTTTCGGTTTTCACGCAGCGGCTGGTGGAAAAGGTTTCTTAACAAGCCAGTTACCAAAAACAAGAAAGAACAGTCGAAGACATATTCATCTATATGTTGAGCTCTTCTTCGACAGATTGTTTGGGTATGAGCTATATTGTAGTAAATATGATTATCAAATGTCGAAAAAGGAGTTCTTAGAAATTATTATCACAAGAGCTATATGATATAGCTACTTTCTGATATCAAATTCTAAAGTTACAAGATATAGCGATTCCATTAGGCCAACTCGGGGAAGAGTAGCATTAGGCCTGACGGACTTACTTGCGTAGAAACACATTGGAAGATATCGACTCCGCTTTTGATACTTATCAAGAATAGAGACGTCTCCTTCCATGCATTACAAGAGTATACAAAATGGGTGTCACGTCGCAAACATTAGAAATCATTAGCTAAAATTGTCTGACACAAGGCCGACTCATCGTAAATGGATAATTATCTCATTATATTAATACAAATTGACCAATATGAAAAAAATGGTATGGTAATGTTGTTCGTGAACAAATATTTCTAAACATAAAACAAGTTCAGCTGCATTCCACAAATATTTTGGAATTGTTACGCAGCAGATTTTTAGCGCAGCTTAAAAATAGTCAAGGAATGGGCGCTTGGGCATGAGAAGGGACTATTTTTGGATTTGGGGTCAAGTGCTGGACAAGCGCTGAATCTAAGCCAGACGACATTCGCAACAGCAGCCCCCGCGGCGCATTGTATTTAAAAATTGAATTTATTTTCGTTACTGTCGAGTTGACGGGTTGTTCGCTGGTTTTGGGGCGCAACGAGGCTGCAGTAATGCGCATTGATTTTCCTTCGAGCCCATCCATCGATCCAGCAGGAAACTGTTTACCACTCAATAACCCAATCAAATCTCAATCCCAAACTCGAGCTCGAGCTCGATGGACGGGAAGGCGGCTCAATTTGACGCTAAAATACCTGCGAAAATTGTTGATTTGATTTGGGCGCGTTAAAACTTTTTAATTAATTGCTGCGAGCTTGTAACGTGTGGTTGCTGTGGTTCGTTGCAAGTATATAGCTCTAGCCAGCGTGTCTACGGCTGTGGATCCAACTCAGAGTTCCGAGTTTGGTTTCTATCCATTTCGTCTGGCCAAATGTCAAACGTGACCCGAAAGTTGTTTGCTCTTCCCTGGCTCGCACCGGACGTGACAGTAATAGGTCATGCTTGATTTTATTCGATTTTTCCTCTGGCTGGCCGAAAAGTTTGTTTTATTTGATTTTGATTTGATGTTTTTTATCGTAACAGTTTTGACACATAAATTTATCTACAAGTCAGTGTTAAAAATTGTTTACTTTTTATGGTTTTTAGGTTATTCAAACTTTGCTGCTTGCTAGCAAAATGGGTGAGTTCTTAAAATAACCAATTTCAATTTATATCTAAAATACTTACATTAAATCCATAGTATGTCAAGCGAGTTACTACTTCAAATTGAAACGGACATTCATAATTGATTTACATTATTACATCAATATTATTATATTTTTAATAAAAACATTCGATCATAATTTACGCTATATTTTATATTTATTTATATACACTTTTCACCATCTTTTGTTTAGATCTTAATTTTATAGCGTGACACTCAATAATTCAGTTATTTCCGATTTCTTATCGTGTCAAAATATAACTAATCAATTTATTTTATTTGATTTTTAAACACACAATTTGCACGGCTAATTGGGAGCACAAGATAACGCACGTAATTCTGAAAAAGAATCCCGCCATGCACAATCTAAATTACGTTAATTTACTTTTTAAATTCTTGGAAATTAATTAAATTTCAATTGATTAACACCTTGCAAGCCGCCGAAAGGCAAACTTCAAAAAGGCGCGCTCCGCTTGAGAAACGCACTTCAAAGTCGTTTGGCTTTCACTTTAGAAATGGGGAAACGCGTCGTATACGCAACTTCCTGCCGCACTGCGACGCGTTCTAACGGCTACTGAATGGGCGTTCGGCGTTTCGCACGCCGAACAGCCAAACAGCGACGACGAAGATGACGACAAAGACAACAGGCGGCAATATTTGAAGCAACAAGCACTTGTCCAGGAGCGGCGCGCGGGCTGTGGCTGATATTAAAAATTGTCCAGCATTTGCTTAGAAGCTGTCAAGGTCTTTGTTTTTTGAAATAATAGCGTTTGTTTGACGTCGTGTTAGACGCACAATTAAAATGTCTGCCTAAACAAACATACTGTCTTATCTCATCGTGCCGCAAACATGCACGAAGTGAAACCACCTGTTAGCGGCAGCACCAAGTTAACAGTCGACTAACAGCGCTGTTGTCCGAAAGCTTTTGTTGTCCACAGGCCGCACAGCTTTTTCTGTTGTTATTGTATAACTAATGGGTCCCGAACTAACTTATACTATTGAAATTGGAGAGATTTAGTTACTTCAAATAGTTAGCACCTTATTGTATTGGTCAGGTATTCATTTTACGTATGCAGTTTCAGATATGAATACTTCAAAATATTGACTCTTTAATTAGATAAATAATAATCTTGTAAGCTTATCGTAACACTTTTAAAAATGAGCGCCTAGATTAAATTTGGTATATTTTAAATTAAAAAATCCGATTGTTATCGATTGTATCGAAATTTGTAGCTAGTAATTTGATGGTAAGCGCACTTTTCAAATTTTTTCCATATACAAATAACAATTTATTGCTAAACACTGAAAGCAATCGGTTTCAGAGAGAGACTTTCGTTAAAAAATGAGAAAAATATAAGAAAGAACCAATTTATTTGTTTTTTTATTGACTCAATTATTGGCTTTGCATTTTAAATTAGATTCCGTTTTTAACTTAAGAAAAACAAGCTTTTTGGTAATTTCTTTTTAGAAATTTGTAACGTATTTTAGCAAAAGCCGACAGTACAGAAAGTTACCCTTGTTTTCTAGTACATCGGCAGACGGTTCTTGAAATACAGATTGCAGAGAGGGGTGCTATATGTATATCATTGAGAATAAATCGATAATCCATATACACAGGCTGCTTGTTTGAATAAAAACGCCTGTGGAATCTTAAATATGACCAACATTTCTAAATTTGTATCTAAATTCTCATGCTCTGTGATCAATGGCAATAATTTATTGTTGTCAATGTGATCCAGCTTGTTTGGTTCGGTACATATTAGATTCGGAATTTAGTTTATCAGATGGACGATACTTTTCTTTTAAAATGTTAAAATTTGGCTAGGACTAGTTTAACTAACCCCGGCTATATATATACATATATCTATACACTGAGGTCAGTGCCTTTCATCTTTCTATGGTTTGGTATTTTTGCTTGGCAACTCTTAAGTATTATTGCGATTGCCGCTTGCGGTCACACTGAAACTCATTCTTTGAATCCAATTCCTCGCCACGCCAAAGTCGGCAGTAACGTAAGTGAGAAAATATTATGTTATTTTAATTGCATAAGAGAAACTAATCACATGTTCAAAAAGATATAAAAATTATTTTTAAATTTTTGTTTCAGTTCGGTACATGTGAGTATTTTCTGCCTACAGTGAAAATTCGCTCACACTGAAACTGCACAATATTATGTAACCTACAAAAGTGAACGACGGGCGCAGTGAAAAATTGCGAATCCCGCAGCAGCTGATTTAATTATAAAGAACTTTGCTAATTTTACATTTTCTTGCTGTCTTTGCAGTTCAGAAACAGTAGTAGACACCGCCAAAACAAAAGAAAAAAATCCGACAAAATGTTCTCATCATTCTTTCAAGCCGCCAGGAATTCACCATTTAGATCGCCATTTACCCCAGTCCGCTGCGATGACGGCCAGTCTGCTTTGCAGAGTGTGCCAGCGGTTGGTGAAAGTGGCCCAGTAGTTGGACGTGAGATCGCAGCTGCAGCAACATCGCAGAACGATTCCTGTGAGTTTGGCAGCGCCAAATATTTTGCTCTGTGCGGTATCGGCGGTATTTTGAGCTGTGGTACCACGCACACCTTTGTGGTCCCTTTGGATTTGGTCAAGTGCCGTCTGCAGGTGGATCCCGCCAAGTATAAGAATCTTATCCATGGCTTCAAGGTCACCGTAGCTGAAGAGGGCGCTCGTGGCCTGGCCAAGGGTTGGTTCCCAACTTTGATTGGTTATTCCGCTCAGGTGGGTGCTTGCGTAAGCCCAATAATTCTTCATAAACGTGACCTCGCATGATGTTCTTTCAGGGTCTGTGCAAGTTCGGATTGTATGAACTGTTCAAAGTTAAGTACGCCGACATCCTTGGCGAGGAAAGGGCGTATTTGTACCGTACCTATGTGTATCTTGCTGCTTCGGCTTCCGCTGAAGTCTTTGCCGATATTGCGCTGGCGCCATTTGAAGCAGCCAAGGTAAAGATTCAGACCGTTCCCGGATTTGCTAACACTTTCCGTGAGGCAGTGCCCAAGATGTATAAGGAGGAGGGCATTACAGCCTTCTACAAGGGCTTGGTGCCATTGTGGATGCGTCAAATTCCGTACACCATGATGAAGTTTGCATGCTTCGAGCGCACTGTGGAGCTGCTCTATAAGTGAGTTAACCAATCTTCACTCATTTTTGTTTCTTTTCTCACGTGCATGATATTTATTATTTAACAGATTTGTGGTACCCAAGCCACGTACTGAATGCAGCAAGGGCGAGCAACTGATTGTGACCTTTGCCGCTGGTTACATTGCTGGCGTGTTCTGCGCCGTTGTCTCGCATCCCGCTGATGTGGTTGTTTCCAAGCTGAACCAGACCAAGGGTGCTAGCGCTATTGGCATTGTCAAGTCTCTCGGCTTCATGGGCATGTGGAATGGATTGACGCCTCGTATCATTATGATCGGTACCCTCACTGCCCTACAATGGTTCATCTACGATGGTGTCAAGGTTGCTCTAGGCATTCCTCGCCCACCACCACCAGAGATGCCCGCCAGTCTGAAGGCCAAGGAGAAGAGCAAGTAAATGGCTCTCACGAAATTGCAAAAAATAAGAACAATGCAAACAAAATGAAAAACATCTAAATTAAGTCTAACTCAAAGTGCAGATCAAGCAAATAGCAAGAGACGGAACGACAACACCCATTAGTAGCATACATCAACTGGCGAAACGAACATACCAAATTTGCTTTTAAATATCTATTGTTTTTGACGTGTGTCAACTGATTTTACCTGTTCTAACGTTACACGTATAGATTTCGGTTCATAGCCATTCCAAGGTAACTTATAACTACTTATACATTCTTCAAACTGCTCTAAACAATATACATTCTTAACTAATCTTTTCTTAACTTTATGTATTCCATTCTATTAAAACTAAATGTGTAGATGTATGTGTATGTACGTCGATTGCCGTACGTATGCATCTTGGTTTTCACTGAAAGTATATTTGTATGTTGTTTCTCCAACTTCAATGATAAGTGTTGAATTGTAGGGATGAGAATATAATAATTAATAGATATGATACGACACTTAAATGCCGCTTAGAAAAATTCCCACACACTCTGAATAAACTAAATTATTAAATTGAAACAGTATTCATTTGACTTTGATTTTGGATTGAGGGCTAACTAGTTTATCAGCGACGCTTTGCGTTTTGCACTTGTGAATTGCATAAACGAAACGCAGCTACTATATACTATGCCATACCTTTACTATTAATGTATAAAGTCGATTATAATATTAGATAACCTGTGACCTCACCACAATTGATTCCTCGTTTCGTTTATGGCAATTGCTTTTCGAAAATAGCGATTCCATCCTAAAGATTTTATGTTATCTAAGTTGGTAAGATTTCCTTCCATAATTATACTGCCAAATATCCATATGTTTAAAAAATAAATAAAGGTTAAAAGTGTTATTATATGCCACGTTTATACGTTTCACTACAATAAAGCGCCAAAACTGATTACCTAGATAGTGCGTCTTTGCGATTTACTGTGGCCGTAGTGAGTGTAGTGTGATTTCCGTAATCTAGCAAACTTTTTATATAGCAAATGACTTTTCAATATTCCTATCATATATTAATTTTCGACCGATGGTTCGCATGACGGATCTTTGCCAATTTTAAATCGAAATTCAAATTAAATAAACCCGGCTATTCTTACGGAGCATGAATGAATACCAAAGCTGAAAGTCTTCTTAAACTTCGAGCACGGAACTCCAAATTATTTTTTAATTCACCAATATGATTTATATCATAAATAAAGCTAGTTTTCATTTTGTGTTCATATAATGACTTAGTTCATGATGAAAAACTTCTGAGGAAGACCAAGCCTCAAAGCATAAATAACTGGAGCCCCAATCATTGCATTCATCCAACCATATTTGGATGATGTCAATTTTGGGTACAGGTCAACTCTAGCCCGCTTTTTGTAGTTGAA